ATTCTCGGTCCTTTTCCAGTAAGATGGCAAATGGAAAGATAGGGTCTGCAAAAAACAGGATGCCCAGGCACGTGGTTAGATAAACGGCTCAACAACACAGTTACTACCAAGTACCAAGAGAGAAATTTTCTTAATCTGCTCTAAGTAGATATTAGCATCTAAGCATACCTATCTCCAGATACCTTGCCTCTATTATGTCAGTGCATCTATGTGGTCATAAATCCTTTTTTACATTCGCCTTCATCTAAGCTTGTGTTAAGGGTCATTTCAATATAAAACATAAAATCCAACTAGTAACACTTACACTGTACCCACTTAAGGCTGTGAGCCTTCTCACAGCTCCCAACACCCTGTACAGTCCTCATGAGTTCTTAAGGTAGCTCCTCTACTGCCTAGGACAGCTCAGGAGCTAGAGCATGTCTGGAAACTAGCGGATATCAAAGGTTGACTGACATGCAAAACAGAGCCTGAATTCTGCAGGCTTGCTAATGAGCTGAAGAAACCATCAATTAACTATTGTGTGCACGGCAGAAGCCTTCAAGTTCCAGAAAATGGAAAACCTGCTGCATACTCGCTAACATGCCGATGCTGGCCCTACAGAGCAGGCTGCCTCCCATTACGGTGAAATGCTGCCAATCAGCTGATCCTTAGTATCTCCCAATACCTGCAATACAGGAACCTCTGCGCAAGTAAGAAGTTCCAGTAAGAGCTGGAACACAGCAACTTGCACCACCCCAGCCCCCCCAAAAAAGGGTGGCACTTTGGCACACCAGCATGTGCAGATCCATTACAGGTACTGACTGTGACTGCCAGTTCTGACTCCCAGTATCACAAAGCCCACAGCATTCCACTGCACAAGCACACCAGTCTTCTCAATCTAGGAATTTCAGTCAAAGCTTAAGCTGATGTCAGTTGCTCCAACAGTTTATCCTAAAATCCCTTTTTTTTTTTTTTTTGAGTTGCTACTTTACAAAATACAATCCTCAACTAAGTATAAGCTTTACCATCAAAGTGAAATCTCAGCCTCAGTGAAGTCACCAGTAAAAACTACTACTGCTTTTAATGATCTCAGATCCACATTTTGTTGTATGAGATTCGCATGACAAAACTTACATCCAGGTTAACCATCTAGTGTCCCCTGATCATCAGTGAAGAAAACCAGACACTTTTAGACTCATCTTCTCCTAGAGAAGACACCTAAAATAGGTTGACTGATTTATACCCAAAAACGCTTTACCTCCTCAGGCTGAAACAAAGATTTAAGTGACAAGCTCTATATCACAGATATCTAAAATAAGCGGAAAGAAACCCACACAGAATTTTATTCTTGGTTTCAAGATGAAAACACAACTTGTGTAAATGAAACCAAGCATACCACAAAATACAGACTGCTCTGTAGAAAAGACCACAACACATAGTTGTTCATCACTTCTTCACCAGGAAGGCTCCAAATATTTAGATATCAGACAATGAGATGGAAAGTTGGAAACGTTAACAGTCCATATGACCAGTGAGCTGAAATAAACCTTTCAAATAATTTTATCAAGTTCCCCAGAGATCTCATAAGATTAGCACATTTTTGATATTGTGATAACTGATAATTCATTTTCTATTTGAATAAAGTTACTTTAGCTATTCTGTGTATTTTCTGCACTGTATCATTATACTTCAGTATCTGTTCACAGATTAAAAACAAACAGAACAGTAATAGTTTTGCTTCCCTGCAGTTTCAACATCCTCATTGTACTCTTTGCTACAACAGGATATACTCATTGATTTACTCAACATCATCTCTTCCCTGATGCGTCTTTGGTTCAATTACTTAAATAGGAGTTATATCCTCACTATGGCTAACTTTCCTGTATTTCCCTCCAGCTTCAAAAATTTCCCTCCTAATTTTTGCCTTGCCTGCCAAAACTAATGTTCTGTTTGTAATCTCTGAACTGGATTCCCAGGAATAGGAGAGGAAAATCTCGCAGCCTGTTATGCCCTGTCATATACCACAGCATATTTTTTCCCTTGTCTTTTTGTCAGCACTGGTTCTTCCTATCCTAATGGATATTGATTACTCAGACCTTCATTTCCTAATTTTTCCTTTCTTGCTGTTCCTTGTAAATTATCTTACATAAAACTATGTGTCGTATCTCCTACCATGCCTTAAAGAGGAAGGTCAGTCTAGCAGCAGATGGAAATATCTCAATAAAACATGAATAGTAGAGATACAATATAGAAAAATCTAGATTACAACAGTAATTCTGAAACTGAAAATTGTGCAATGTGCAACTAACAGACAATAGCCACAGTTTTTTCCAAAATAAATTAAAATTCTTATCTACAGCTCCTTTAGACTTCAAATATGTAAAAATATATAAAAATAAAATTTATACATTTTCTATTATTTGCTAAATATTGAAGGCATATAACCAGTGGAAACCTTTCCAAGTTGTTGTACCAAGACTAGAACTTCTGCTGAACTCTATTCATCAGAATGTATTTCAATAACTTACTGAAAGGGACTGGAGTAACTTCATTAACACCATGTGATTTATGGCTGCAACATGTATTTTTACAAAAACAAAACCTATTTAACTACCAGATTGTTAGAACAGCGCAACAGGACCCTCACATTCAACATCTGTGGAAAAGAACATGCATCTTATACATGCAACTGCTGTGCTTCAGCAAATTTATCCCCTCTACAGTCACCGTTTCCATCTTTTCCTTTGTGTTAAATATATAGTTTTACTTAATGCATCCATAGTAAATTTCATTTTCCAACTTATTGGTGTGCTTCTCCCATTTTCTAGATTAAATAACTTTAACAGCCTGGTTACCCTTTGGTTCAATGAAGAATATAAATTTGACATAATCTCTATTAGGCAGTGAACATTTTGGAGAGGAAACTTGATTTTTTTTCTTATGCATAACCTCACGTCTTGTAACCTACATAATTTTCTAAGACCTTTCTCTTGCTTCGCTCTTCATCTTTACTGCCACTACATAACATGAACAAAGGCTCCTTCTCAAAGAGGATCAGCTAACCTTCAAGGTCCCTTTCAACACAGACATTTCTATGATTCAAGACACAGAAATCTCACACAACATTTCAAGAAGTAGTTATTAATATTATTGTCTGGATAAACCATAGAGTTTGGCCTGGAATCATATTTCAGCATATTAAAAGCTGTTTATTATTATATCTCAGTACATTAAAAACTCTGTTTCAGTATGTTATGGGCTCTGAAGCCTTCTTTGTGTTGTGACACCTTTCCTACAGCTGATACTTCTTTCCAGAAGGACTCAATAGCTTTTTACAAGATGTTCTTTTAAAATACACTCTGTAATGACGACTCAATTAATTAAAAAAAAAAGAAAAAAGTCACAATTGTCAAAAGCAATTTGGAATATAAACAGTAATCTGTTCTTAAAAGTCAGGACTGAAGCATACGAACACTTCCATAGTGACAATTAAGTAACAACGTCTGAAGCACTGATACTAGCCTTCATCTTAAGAAAGACTAGAATTTAAAGGAAAATTTTAAATGTTTCATCTACCCTTCAGATGACTTACATACTATGCTCATAATTGGTACTGAACACACAAATGCAAGGTAATTATTCTAAAGATTATATGGATTCCAATCCGTATCAAAGGTGATGTATCAGCAACAGGGTTGTAAAATTTTCTCTCTTTTTTTTTTTTTTTCTTTTTTTTAGTGGATTGAACAAGTCTTCTTACTGGTAACATAATCATGTCTTGTTTCCAGTTTACTTGTGTCATTTCAACCCTAGCTGTTCCTCATGGCACTCCAAGGGACCAAGGTGCTGCTTTAGTCCAGCCCTGTACTTGCGCTGACTAGCCAAAAAGAACATAAAGATCAGATCTCTACCTGCCAGTAAGTCATTTTCATCTAGCCAGCCACCTGCTTTCACAAAATTTTTAAGAATCAAATACTTTTTGACATCTACCCCTCTTTAAAATGCAGCTGAAACCTGTGAGTGAACTCAAAAATCAGTAGACACAACTACATCACAGACTAACAGACAGACCGATTGTTTTAAGCACCATTTCCTTCAGAAACCAGGCCAAAAGAATACTCATTTCAGACCCTGTACCAGAGTCTCTGTGGGGGAAAAAAAAAAAAAAAAAAAAAAAAAAAGAAAACCAGTGTGAGTTTGAGTGTGCTGATGAAAAAAGAAAAGGAACTGTCGCAGTAAAAGGCAACTTGAAAACATTCCATGTCTATTCAACAGTTTATAATATGTAGAATACATTGTTTTCAGTCAATTATAATCCAAGATTTCTTTTCACATTTATAGTAGCAACATAACAAGGGAGTGAATTTCTACTGTTTATATCTTGATTACTCAATAATCTGAGTTCTAATGCAGAATCAAACAAGCAAGTAATGATTCAGATCAGTTCACCCTGAGTTTAATGAATGGTTTTCATTTTCTGGAAGAACAAAGTTTACTCTCCTTCAAGAACACCAAGCCTGTTTTATTTCCCATCACCAGTTTCAAAAAATTGCTCAGTATTTTAAGTTAGTTCTATAGTTCAAAAGTACACAGGAAGTATAAAACTCTTATACACAATTATTCAGTAAATATCACTTCAAATGAATATTAATCTCAAAGTTTTCCTCTATTTTTTAATTAACATTTACCGCTAAAATAACTAAATCTCAATGCTTAATCTTCTTCCAGAAAAAAAAAAAGGTTCCTTACTGTTAGTGAATCAATGTACAAAGAAATATTATCCTTCCATGAGGAAAATATACATATAAAAGATGCTAGAGCCTTTCCATTTTCTTCCAATTTTCATCACTAATATATCTGTACACCTGAATGAGAACAACTGTAGGAAGAATAATTAAAAGCCACTGGTAACTTAAGATCTGAAATCTTTCTGGAGGGACTTAATTTAAAAGTACAGTAATTTCAAAAAATCCTGTTCATTATTTATTTTATAAACACAAAAGTCTAAAATCTGTACTTACTTCAACATGTGTAAATAACGTTTGTTCAATGTTATCATTGTTTTTCTCCTTGAGATCTGGTGGAATGTTTCTATTTCTTACTTGGAAGTGTGTTTTACTAAGATAACCATCACCAAGGTCCTGTGTTCAGAAAAGAAAGAAAAAAAAATGTCTGTAACCAAAATGCTAAATGCTATCAATGTTCTAGAAAATAAACAGAGCATGGTATTCAGGCATAAGCTCCAAGTCTTTTTATAGGCACCAATGACTGCATTGCTTTTCTGTATCTTCTCACAGGTCATATACACTAGTTCTCGGTGTTAAAGGAAGTCAAAGACCCGAACAGTAAAAATAAAATTTAATATAGCTATTAATTGAATAAAACAACTGCTACCTGGGGATCAGGATGGGTGCCAAAAAACTGGAAGACAGTGCACTAAAGTCATGAAGAGATGAGCAGCTATTAATGATTTTGACCTATCTATTTCAAGCAATGCATTCACACCAGTACAGACTTCCCAATTCTTGGCAGATTGGTTTATTTTTGCTCTGTTCCCCCTCTAACTTTCTTCAAGTTCTAGGGGCTGGGGGAACCAAAACACTTCAGAACTTACGTGCGCAGAATCACAATTTGTTCCCTTCTCTTGATCACCTCTGAGGGTCAAATGTAAGAGAAAACAGACAAAGCTGTACCTTCTCCCAGTTCCCTTTTTATCATTCTGCCTCCCAGGCCGCATGGTCTACTGTTGTAAAAGGCCCTTGTGCAATTTCAGGGTGGCAGAAGAAGGTTTTAGGAGCTTTCCCCCCAGCTGCTGACCTCACTCCACACACATACAAACTTTTTTTTTTTTTCATTAGAAGAGGAGAGAAAAAGTTTAGTAACAGATCACTAGAAAAACGTATGCTCTGAAAAGGAGGAAGAATATGCAGAATGCAAAGAACAGTAGTTGTATATTAAGAACTCGTTTCTCAAAGGACACAAATAAATTGGGGTTTTATTAGCTGTTGCACTGCATTTTATTTTAGACAAGCACAGAAAGCATATGCACAAGATATGATGAAAAAGGATTCTATTCAAAACAGTCTCTCTACAAAGTTCATTAATGTAGCATTAAATTGCTTGACAAGACTGCAAATTTAACTATAATTTAACTCTCATTAATTGGTCATTGCTTGGCACAGTTTATTCCATGCATTCTGATCTTTACCTCAAAACGAGTTTTATTCTGACATACCAGTTCTCGCTTTTCAAGGACACTGCAGAATACCCGTACCTCCAAAATCTGCTGTGGGCTATTTGTTTACTTTGTTCTCATACTGCTTCACACCTGATAAAAAATGATAACACTTTCCACATTTTTGTCCCTGAATTTTTAAGCATGAGTCATACTATGAGCAATTACCTTGCCTATAGCTTCTCCTGATGCATGCCTTATTTTCCTCACTAAATCTCATCAACAGCATGAAACTGCCAAACTTTGCTGGGTGTCCTGGCTGCAGAACCAACTACATCCTGTGCAATGAAGAATCAAGCATGTGGAGAACAACAGTGACAGAAAAATTAAGCCTAACTTGGCGATACAAAAGCCACTTCACTCACTCTCAAGACTCTCTGTCAAGTCTCACCTTGTGGAGCTTGGTGCGAGTGTCAGCAGGAGCTAAGCTACCCACATTGGTATTTATCCCCCTGAGAGCAGCAAAGGAGCCACCCACAGAGGTAAAATGCCCCAAGGTACAATGAGCTTTGCCAAAGAAGGGCTGGATATAGCATTCACCTCCCTGAACCAGTTCTTCCTGTCAGAAGAAAGGAGCCAAGCTCCACATCCTTTTTTTGCATTCTGTAGTATTTGAGTGCCATGAAAAAATATCTATGGATAGGTAGAAACATGGAGTTAGCAGTCTCTGTATTTGACAGCTGCAGGCTAGAGAAGAGGTGTCAGGAAAGAGAAGCAACCCTCCTGTTGCACTCTCTGTGGTGTTATTCATGTATTTTGTACACCTCTGCCCCTGAAAATAAATCCAATACTTTTGCAAGGACTTTGATCCCATTAATGTGGAAAGGGAGTCCATTTTTACTCTGTCTGTCTGGTGAGCATCAGAAGCAAAAGTGAAATGATACAGCGTTTGATATGATTACCTAGATTAACCTAACTAAGTATGAAAAAAACCATAAAGCAGAAAGCAAACAGGGGGCAGCCTTCATGGCCAGGACTTAACTATCCATCCCTAACAGCAGCACCGAAGTATAGCTCCAATCAGGTCGTACAGTAGAGGTGCTCTTGGCTTTTTTACAGCTTTCGTCTGGGGGGGAGTGGGGGGTGGGGGGAGGGAAGCAGATTACAAAAATAACATAGTTTAGAACATTTCACTTACAGCTATAAATACAGGGTTCTGCTTGGGCCATGTGAGCTTATGCCACAAGAGCCAGCTCCACAAAAACGAGTATTTCATCACCTAAATTTAATCTCTACAGAAAGCATAGGAACAGAAGAACACAGTTCTACAAGCCTGGTTTACTTGTGTGGTCTTATTGCTATCAATGGGTCTATTCACGTGAGTATGGAATGAGGAATGGGATCCAAGTGCATTACGTCAGCAAAACTAAGACTCCCCCAAACTACCCACAACACATATATTGGTAAAAAAAGCAAAAAGACAATGAGACATCTTGTTAACGAAAACCTTCCTTCCCAGATTACATACTATAAATGGATGGACAGGTTTTATCACACACTGAAATCACAGTCTCACCAACTTGGCCTATTAAAAAAAAAAACCCTCTTACAATTTTTTTGTATGTGAGAACAAAAATCTATCTCATTCTGCTACTTCCAGCAAAGCTTCTTATTTCACAGAAAGTTCAAACTTTGGCCCATGTATTAAATTCCCAGTAGAGGCTCAGAGCATCTTTCTGTGTTGAATAAATCCTCACAAATACAGCCTTGGACCGAAATCTAAAGTTTCAAATGGTTGCCTGTAAGAAAGGGTGCATTGTAACACTTGGCTAATATTTGCACTCTTTTAAAAACTTCTAAACAGAATGCATCTAAGGCCCAGATCCTGCTTCTTACTGAAATTCTGTTTCATCTGTGATGAAAGGGTTACACATGCTAATGTATAATTATTTATGTGGAAATTATGTACACATTTACTTGGGAATTTCTTGCATCTCAAAATGGTACAACCGTGATTTTTCTCCCCAAAATTCATGAAAGCATGGGAAACCACCAAACCAAAAACTAGAGAAGGAAATTTTCTACCACAGAAAGAAGAAATACAGAGATAATAATGAGCATCCCACACCATCCATTACTGAAAACTGGTCAGTTTTGAAAACTACTGAAAACCTGTATTGCCCGCTCATCAAAACAAGTGGCAAAAAGAAATCCTAGAACAGTGTGGATTTATTATTATATGGGAAATAACAGAAGCAAGTATTCAAAATATTTATGTTGCTATTACAGAACAAATACAAATTTTGTAGCCATGACTATTATGAAGTTTTCACTCCAGCAGTGGTTAAGCAGGACACTAGCATGAGGTGGCTATCACTTGGTATTTTTAAATCAGTACATAAGAACCATCAATTTTCTTTAAGTCTTCGAGCACTGTGGAAGTTTCAGAGAACTTTGGAGAAAGCCAGCATGTATCGATATATGTTTATATACCGGCTAATTTGTGTAATTATACACATATTAGCTTGACATCACCCCAAGCAAAATAACAGAAGACGTCACACAGAATCCAGTAAATAAAGAAATATACACAGTAAATGCAGTTACGTTTTAAGAAAAATGGATTTTGTCAAGTTAAACTTAAAAATACATGTTTTGCTGATAAACGTAAAAGTTGTAACAATATAAACTCAGACTTCCATAACTGTTGATTCCACAAGCAGAAATTAAAAAATTAAAATAATCCCACACTAATCTGACACACACTAAAGGATGAAAAAATGATTAACTCACAGATCTCAAATGTAACTTAAAAATGGGGAATCATCATAAAAGAGGTGATTCTAATGGGGTCCTGTGAGACTACTCTTGGCCCCACGCTACTTAAAATTTTGATTAATGACCTAGAAACAATATGTAATTATTATTGGTGAGGTTTGAAAGTTATGGGGAAGCAGGAAATCGTTAGGGTCGATCATTAATAGAGACAGATTCTTCCAGTTGCTGTACACAACTAACATGTATTTTAATAAAAAATATTAAGTCACACATCTAGAACAAAGACTATGTGTCATTTCAGCTCGAAGTGTTAAAGTGATCCTTGGATATACAACCACAAGCACTTGCTCTGAGTAGGAAGGTTTGAATTTCACAGTGATACAACATTCGTGGTCTAGTTTTGCCCATGGTTGAAAAAAGGATTTTTATATACTGGAAAGGATTCAGAGGAGATCCACAAGAATGATTAAAATACTGGAAAACATGTCAAATAGTCAGGGAGCTCAACATGCTTTGCTTTTACACTGACAAGGTGAAGGGATGAACTGATCTCAATCTAAAGTACCAAAACAGGGAGAGTTTTGATAAAAGAAGGGTCCTCAGCTTAGTAGACAAGGTACAGTTACCAATGGCTGGAAGATGAAGCTAGGCAGTTAAGATTAAAAGCAACATGCTTTTGGTTTTCCTTTTTCAATTAAATTTTTAAGCACAGCCAACCATTCGAAAGGCTCTGTTGAGAGCTGTGACTGTTTCCCCATCATTGGGAATTCTGAAAATGAAGACAGTATAATGCCTTAAAAGACATTTTCTGATCAAAACACAAATCATCTCAGGTAATCCTACCCCTCTGTTACACAAGTCGCACTAGACCATCCCAGCAGTTGTTTCTGGAGTCACAAACCCTAGTCAATAGATGTACTGGCCTAAATCCTCATGTAAACCATCTATGCACTATTTTGTTCTTGGACCAGCTGCTTAATATGCCATTTATTTCAGATGATGTAACCCCCCCTTAAAGGATATTCCAGCTTGTGGTGGTTGTCAACAACTCAAAAAGGCCAGCAAGGGTATCTAAAAATTAACACTATGATTATTTTTACCTTGCTAGTTCTCCACTCCCAACCATCTCCTATCTGCTGTGAATGTTTAATAAATTCTTCACAGTACTGCTTGAATCTTTGTTCTTCCAAAAAGAAGTCCTCTTCACCTGCCATGCTACTGGACATCTGCAGAGCAAACTAAATGTTAGTACTGACAGGTTAAAACGAACACTGAAAGCTTTCAATGATTTATAGCAATTGAATAGTAAAATAACAAAGCACTGGGAAAAAAAAAAACCCTGCTTCTTTAAGTAAAACAGACACATTTCTGCGAGTACATTAGGGAATCACAGACAAACGGAACAGCTGAGGTTAGAAGAGACCTCTGGAAACTGTTTAGTCCAAGCCCCCTGCCCACAGTAGGGCCAACTAGAGCAAGCTGTTCAGGATCATTTCCAGATGGGTTTTGACTAACTCAAAGGATGGAGAAGTCACAACCTCTCTAGGGGACCTGTTCCAGTGTTCAATTATCATAGCAGTAAATAATTTTTCTGCTGTTTAAATGAAAAAAATTATGTATTGATTTGTGATCATTGCCTCTTGTACTTTGCATAGTACTGAAAAAAGCCTGGCTCCATCTTCTTTACTCCCTCCCATCAGGCATTTACACACATTTGCAAGATCCCACTGACCTTTCTCTTCCCCAGGCTGAAGAGTCCCAGCTCTCTCAGCCTTGCCTTGTATGTCAGGCACCTTTAACCACCTCTGTGTCACTTCACTGGACTTGCTCCCGTACGGTGTTGTCTTTCTTATACTGGGGAGCCCAGAGCTGGACACAGTACTGCAGTTTGGATGTACATTTCCTTAGCAGTGGCACTCCAACTGGCAACCAGAAACCTGAATCCACCTGTGGGCTACTTCCATGGGCCTACCACCTCTCCCTTGGGGATGGGAATGGCTCCACAAAAGCTTAACAACTCCAGCATCTGCGGACACAGAGCCTACGTGATGGCCACCAGAGTCCAGCTGAAGCAGCCACTCCCGATTGTGTGAGTAGTACTCAACAGTACCCACAGACATGGCTTCATGGGGAAAAACTCTCTCAGAGGATCTGGCCAGCTTTACCTTTCCCCCCCCCCTTTCAAAGAGGATGTATCATAAACATGGCTATTTCAGTGTGTTCATAGGCACCAGGCATCACAGCAGCACCACATACAAATACTCAGTAGCTATCACAACTAGACCACACCTTTTCTTAACACCAAATACAAAGGACGCACCACCTCGTGCAACGCTCACTGTTTCTCAGGATCTGGGCCTAAATCACAACATCATCCTGTCCGCCCATGACATAAATTATTTATCTAGCACTTGGAAGATTTATTATTTTCAGTGGCAGTTAACCCGAGCCCCCGTCAATCTGCTTGTGCTACCCTGGATGTCAGAAAGAGGAAATGTGGAAAACAGGCACTGTAGACGTTTCTGTGACTCCCAAATCACCCAGCCCGGACGAGGGACTGCAGAACTGCGGTAAGCACACGCAAGGAGAGGAGAGTTAAACGGAGCTGCGCGCTTGAAGGAATCAGCAGCTGCGAAGAGACAGCGGGCTGCTGGCAGCCGAGCTGCACGCCTCCCCTCCTGCCTTCAACCACCCCG